TGAGGAGTTTTTTCTTGGAAAAAAAAAAGGGAAAGAAAGAGGCTACAGTAGCATGAAGAAGAGAGAAAAACAAGTAGGTGAGAAGTTACAGGGAGATAGAAAATGAAGAAGAATCATCAAAACACTTTTTTTGGTAATATTTTAATGGGATTTTGATGAGATTTCGGGTTTTTATTGAAATTATTATAAAAAAAAACTAATATCCCAACACTTATCTTCTTATTATAGAGCCACTTGAGAGTAAGTAGCACAATGTTTCCTATGGGTGAAGAGCGAAGTTGTAAACATAAAATTACATACCCGTTGATTTAACACACTAACCATTAGGAAAGTAATAAATAGTTAATTAAAAGATTATTGTTAAAGCAAACTAATTAAGAATTAAATGATCTATTGGTTGATTAAGTAATGATCTAATTAATTTAATTTATTTCTCAACAAGAACAAGCTAATTATTTTAATGTGTAAATTTCTTTCTATAAAATAAAATCATTTAATGTTTTTAAAATGTGTAAGATTATTGTCATATTTGAACAATTTTTTTTAATACAGTATAGGGGGTGGAGATTCGAACTCACCGCTATGTTCAGGTTGCTCGCACCATGGAATCTAACCAGGAAAGTTTAGATTTTTTATTTCGTGGCTAGGTTAGTAGTATTTATTTATAATTTAAACTGAGTAATGAATGGTATTAATGGTTTTGTTATCTTCTTAAATGATATTTAAAATTTAGTTAACCAATATTTCATAAATACAATTAAATTTAATATTTAATTTCAAAACAATAAAATTATTCCTAATTTATTGAAGGAATAAATTAACATAATTAGTATTAATTTAAAGAACATTTTTCCACCCCCCATAACTTATCCAAGGAAAAAAGAAACATGAGAAGGAAAAATACACATCTCAACACCAATAATATATTTAAAGTATATAATTTATCAACGTTTTCGTAAATTAACAGTAAAAACAAAAAAATTGAAATATACATTAATGTTAATAAGGCTTCTAAATTCACAACTTCAATATTATGTAAGTAATAGCCGAATTGAACTTATATAAATTCGTAGGCATCAAGTGAAATTTTGAAAGTTAGAGGTTTGAACCTTCGTTTATTTAGACTAAAAACTATATAGTATTATTTAATGTTAATATTACTATATTACTTGGTGTGAGAACTAATATTACTATATTATTTAATTGCATAGTTTAATTGTAATGAACGATTCAGTTCGGAAGAATTAACCATTTAGATTTTTATTTTGCATAAACATACCACCGTTTCGCAATTTCTTGTTTCTGTTTCTTAATTTTTAATGAAGAAAAATGAATTGCACGGTCCCAACATCCGTGAATTCAAGTATGATGAAATAATATATTTATTTATGTTTTGGAACAAATTAGAAATAGGAACAAAGAAGAAGAAATTTATTTTGGTTGTTTTCAAAATTTATATACAATTTTGAAAATGTTCCAAAAAAAAAAGAAACAACAAACATAATTAGGTTAAAAATACCTAGAGTTCTTAAAAAAATTGGAAATAAGAAACAAGAAACGAGAAAGTTAGCAAACGACCCATTAGTGATCATAGAAGGTCATTATTTTTATTTTTTTCAATATCTACCATTGGATTAAATTAGACGTTCACGGTGAAAGTTGATACAATTTACCAAGTAAAATGATTTTTTTTTATAAGAAGATATAAATTTAAAGACTCTGAAAATACAAAATACAACACAGTTTGAGTGTTTTCCATCAAATTATTTATCTCCAAACTGTATTTTTAATCATAAACCAAACTCCCTTAAATTCTTAGAGAATTAAAATTCACTATAAATATATAACAGAGACAGCAGCAAAGTTTGAACTAAAGAAATGGTGAAACCTTCTAAGAGAGAATGGACCATGATGGACATAGAAATGACTTGTTTTTATGTCTTTATTCACGTAGTTTGTATTTTTGCACCATTTTACTTTAATTGGAGTGCATTTTGGGTTACTTTTGCATTATATATTATTACTGGTCTCTTTGGTATTTCTATTTCGTATCATAGAAATCTTTCACATAGAAGTTTCAAACTTCCCAAATGGCTCGAATACTTGTTTGCTTATTGTGGGGTTCATGCACTCCAGGTTTGACATTTGACAAGTTATTCTTTTCCTACCATAGATATATATATTAACAACAAGATGGATTAAAATTGATTGATAAACTTAGTTTATCAAAATATTTGAAATGTTTCGTTATTTTATGTATTTTAGGGCGATCCAATCGGTTGGGTGAGTACACATAGGAGTCACCATCAATTTGTTGATACAGAAAAAGATCCACACAATCCTATTCAAGGATTCTGGTTTAGTCATTTTACTTGGATGTTTGATTCTAATGCTTTAACTAAAAAAGTTTGTCCGGAGTACTTTAATGAATTCAAAGAGATAAAAAGCAGCGGTTGTGTAATTGTTGGGAAATATGGAAGACCGAATAATGTTGGCGACTTGGAGAAGCAATCATTCTATAGATTTATTCACAAATCGTATCTTCTCCACCCCATTGCTCTTGCATTCCTACTTTATGCTGTTGGAGGAATTCCATTTCTTATATGGGGAATGGTAAAATAAAGCTACTCTCTAATTTTTTTTTTTCTCTCTCAATTAACAGTACATAATACAATGAAAAGTAGATATATGTAGAATTTACAATTAAAGCAAATATCTCTCTATATAAATTAAATATGTATTTTTTTTAAAAAAAATTAATAGTATAAATAGAGTTTGAATAGGACCTATCATATTCTTTGTCATGCAGTGTGTGAGGACTATAACGTATTTACACCTAACATTTATGGTGAACTCAGTATGTCATAGGTGGGGAAAGCAACGATGGAAAACTGGCGATTTGTCTAGAAATAATTGGTGAGCTACATCTGATATGTCAAGTGAAAGATAATTTAAATGATCAAGGGTCATTGTGACTATAAATTTTGTCTTTCTTTTTAGGTTGGTGGGTTTGCTTGTACTTGGAGAAGGTTGGCACAATAACCATCATGCCTTCGAGTATTCGGCTCAGTTTGGACTCGAATGATGGCAAATTGACTTCGGTTGGTATGTTATTAGGTTCCTCCAAGCAAGTAGAATGGCCACTAATGTCAAATTGCCCTCTCAAAGCCACAAGCAAAGACTGGCTATGGAAAAATCCAAGAAATAGAAATAATTATGCCTTCATAAATGTATTAGAATGTGCAAATAGAATTGTCCGTACAAAAAAATGCAGTAGAATTATGCCTATATAAAATACTTCATATTGTTTGCAAAGTCTGTGGTCCAAACATATAAGAAATATGTATTACATTACTTTTTATAATATACTTGTGAGTAGTACGTGCACATGAATTTATAATTTTATTTTACTAAAAAAAGGCATTTACATAAATAGCATATGTATTTTTAAAAGTAGTATAAAGTTTAAAGATTTACAAAAAATAATATAATTAAATCCACTCAAATCCAAATATAATATAAAGCACGATATATTTATAATTTACAATTTATATCATATTTTTAATTATTTCGATTTTTAAAAGTTTGGTATTTTATTATTTGATTTAACCAATAATGACAATAAAAAAAATTACATAGGGTATAAAATGTCAAAAAAAAAAAAATAAACAAAAAGAAGAAAACGAGTGAGGAAAGAGAGGGAAATAATTTACAGTAATCAAATATTCTATGAAATTGAAATTATTAACATTACATTGATAGAAAAACTAAAAGTTGAACGAAGCAATCTAACTAAAATATATGAAAATTGATAGAAAAACTAAAAGTTGAACCAAGCAATCTAACTAAAATATATGAAAACATAAGAAAGACTTCGTAGTAGTTCTTTACAAAATTTTTTGAGATTTTTTTGAAACTTCAATATTAATTCTAATTAAAAATCACTCATATTTTTTTTTAATTAATTTATTTTAATAGAAGAGACAACTTTGTTGGGAAAAAAACTTACCAAGAATATTTTCCCCTTTCCACAATTCCTGAGTGAAAACTAAGTCAATCATACAATAGAAGAAATATAGGGAAAGTGCAGTAAACGACACGAGATTTATACTAGTTCACCCTAACTGTGACTTACTGTTAAAGTCGACTTTTTGTTGCAGAAATATGTGTTGGTAGGCCTGTTTGACCACGATTTTGAACCTTCGCCATCATTATTTGTAAAAAAGAATTGCATATTCTTAAAGTATAATATAAATAGAACATTTCTGGATAAATTACAATATATGGTACTTTAGGAAAAAAATGAGAAAAACATGGTCAAAGGTAGAAGAAAGTAACAGTTTTCCAAATTCGGCAGGAAATTGTGCCTGGCGCAATTTAGGGGCATTTTCCCAACTTTGCCAAAACGTGTGTTTTGATTAATGAAAGGCAAGGAGGACATTTCCAATGTGTTTGTATAAAGCTACAACCGTGAGTCCAAGTCAAGAAGAGGTTGTTAGGTGAATCTCAACTCATTTTCACCTAAAATGGTGGGAGGTTCAACCAACTCAAGGGCCTATATAAGAAAGTCATTCATCCAGCAGCAAATCATCCCTTACAAGCTCGTTTTCAGCTTCATTTTATTCCTTCTTAGTTGTAGAACTCGTTCAAATGCTTTAGATTCAAGTTTTAGTTGTTATTTTCTTGTATTTTCATACTTTTGCTTATCGTATTGCTTTTAATTCAAGTTCTACCTTTTTTTCTTCATTTAGTCTATTCTTCTTTAGTTCTTTAATGAGTTTACACGCTCCTCACGCTCGAAAGAGAAGAGGGTCAAGCTAGAACTCCTTGTACAACTCATTTATTCGTTTTAATTCAATGAAAAATACTTCCTTTATATTTTAATGCATTTTATTTCCTTTAATCATGTTCTAAATTAGTTATCAATCTCTTTGTGGAATGCCTTAGTCAAAATGATTTGATTTTCAACACGCTCGGGATTTTGCTCATAATTGCGTCTGACACTTTTTTTGGTTGGTTTCTAAACACTACTCTTTACGTCTTCTTTCCATTTGGCCAGTGGGAACTTAATTTGTACACTAAAGCCCAACCATGAGAAGGGTGAGTTAGGTAAAATAATAGGAAATCAATATGGGATGTGACTTAGACATAAATGCATAAAACATGATCCTTTACCCCAAGCCGCACAGTTCGAGCTTAAGCCAGTCATGTTTCAGATGTTCTAGACGATGGGCCAGTTCGAAGGATTAACTAACGAAGATCCTTACTCCCATCTCAAATCTTTTATTGAAATAACTAATGCATTTCAACTTCCTGGTGTCTCTGAAGATGCACTAAGACTAAAAATGCTTCCTTTTTCTCTCAGGGACAATGCAAGAACTTGGCTAAACGCGCTAGAACCAAATTCTATCACCACGTGGGCGGAACTGACGGAGAAATTCATGGCAAAGTACCATACATTGACAAGGAACGCAGACCTTCGGGAAGACATTGTGTCTTTTCGACAAAAGGAGAACGAAGCAGTTCAAGAAGCTTGGGAACGTTTCAAAGAGTTACTCAGAAGATGTCCAAGCCATGGATTGCCCGCATGTGCAGATTGAGCCATTTTATAGAGGATTGGATCGTTCATCGAGAATGATATTGAACATTGCAGCCAATGGCTTATTGTTAGAAAAGTTAGTTAATGAGATCGTTGATATTTTTAACAACATGACAAACATTAATGACCAAGGAGAAATAGGAATGTCATTGCCAAAGAACTACAACAATATAATCCTAAGAATCAATAATGAAAAAGCTCACCAAATAACCACGAGAATAGGTTGCAGACGATGCTCTACAGTCCCGGGATCTCGCTTCTAAAACTTTGCCAAATACCACTGTTGTTGCCTTCTGAAAATTCGTGCACCTACACATTCAGCCGCTACTTTGATGTGTAACAACACATGAACAAAACCTTAACAAAAGCACTCTATTTATAGGAAGCCAAATATCATAATCCTTATAGGAAAAATAGTATTATAATCATTTTCTTCATAGGACATGGGCTTCTTGCTTTGGCTCCATTATCCGAACAATCTCCCACTTGAAGACAAAATATCGATCGTGTCTCCCACTGCACCAATAGTGTTCCATCATCTTGGCAACCCCGCCAAGGTTAAGTTCTAATTGTACCAACAATAACTAATCAACAACTGCTCGGCCCAAACCAAGCTCCGCGTGTGATTCCTTTGAGATTGAGCAATCCTACTTGGTCTTGTCTCCCATACGCTAGAGACACAACCACGTGCTCACACTCGATCTAAGTGATCTCTGATGCTTCCGTCCTCGATTGAACCCAAGGACCTTTGAAGGAAGATTTTCCCTCTAATTACTTGGCACTCCCACCCAAGTCTGTTGCCACGCTAGAGACCTCACCCTCGACTTCAGCACCACTGTAGTCTTTCTCCTCAATGCACTCGTTCACCTACGCGACTTCATCAGCTCGCTAATCCATTTGACAACAAGGGTATTATCCTGGCAGTCTACTAAACACCTCACTGAGCTGGTCCCCTTTCCGTTTCCTCTACTTAGCATATGTTTTACATAAACTGATGACAGATTCTCCTGATGTCCTGAATGTTAATGCTACTAGTTCTTTCAAGTCTCCACCTGAACTATTTGAAGCCCTATGCATAACCTGTCTCTCCGATCCTCTAGCAACACTAGACCTCAACACATATGTAGACACCGTATTTGGTTTGGCACAATTTTATTTTCTGTAATAAATAAAATTGAAAAAATATTTATGTTTTTCGTTAAAAATCAAAATAAAAGATAAAAAATAAAATAAAATAAAATATTTTAGAAGAATCATGGGATTTGAAATTTCAATTTCAATTTGATTTTTTGTTAAAGCCATGTGATTTTCAAATTTTGAAATGCACCGAAAACAGTTTTAAAATATGTAATGAAATATTAAAAATACGAGATTTGAAGTTTGAAATTCAAATTAAGTAAGGTTTTTTAAATTTTAACTGAATTTCATATTGATTCTCTTTTGTAGATTTTCAGTTAAGGTTTCGGGAATTTTAAAATATAATTTCAACTTGATTTTTGAATTAAAAGGAGATTTTCTGTTAAAGATTACAAGATCTAATTTGAATGGATTGTTTTGGGCTCTATATAAAGGAGGGTTCATCTCACATGAAAGGGACGGTGGAAAAGGAAAGGTTGGAATTTTGTTTTTTAGAATTGTTGTAGAAAAACACACCTTCTTTCCTCTCTTTCACCAACACCTCACTCCCTCACATTCGTTCTCCAACTCTTCCTCCCTCCAGAAATCGACAACACCATCTATTTCCTCTCATATCCCAACGTACTCTGGTGGCGTGCAACTCTGATGGTGGTGTGGAGAACGACGATAAAAGCTTACAGAAGTCCGACCCCCGACGATCAGACCCTTTGTTCCTGCGACCTTTGACGAATCTCCCTTCATCATGTAGATATTCTCTCTATTGGTAAGTGAGGTTTGTAAAACTTTTGTTTTTTTTTTCTCGCATACATCTTGATATGAAATTGCTTTGCATGAGAATGTTTGTTTAAAATTTGTCAGTTTTTGGGACTGTGTTGGGACTGTTTTTTGGGCTTAAAATTAAAACTTTTTGGTCTGTTTTCAATGCAAAATTTATCAGTTTTTTGGACGATTTTGGACTGTTTTTTGGGCTGAAAATTGAAAATTTTTTTTGGATGTTTTCGTTGTAAAATTTATCAATTTTAGAGACTGTTTCTGTGTTTTTGGAGCTGAAAATTGAATACTTTTGGGCTATTTTAGAGCGAAAATTGAATGATTTTGAGATTTATTTTATTCTTGTTTTTTTTTTGGATAAAATTAAGGTTTTTTTGTTTTGTTCAAATTAATTCTAAATTGATGATGTAAAATTCTAAAACGAGGATTGAGTAATGTGCTTTCGTGGAATTACGTCTCCCGTAATAGGATAATTTCAGATAAAATATGGTAACTGTTTTCGAACGGGTATTGTAAGGTGCTAACACCTACTCTACGCTCAATCGACTCTCGAACCGAAATATATTTTCATAGACCAT